TTCCGACTGATATGTGGAAAGCTGGAACGATATACTTCCCCACTACACCATCCCACTGCAGGAGGGCAGCACCAACAGTATCATCACTGTCCACATGGCACACAATATCTAAGCTTCACAAAAGGGTGCATCCAAGAATGTGTGTGGCCCTCCCAGACCCACTCCAACCCAAAAGGGGCTAAACTTCTGATGAGCCTCACACTCAAAAATAACTGCATCCAGCAGGCTGCCTCATTTCCCCAAGCAAGCTTGCCCCACTTTCCCCTACCTCCCAACTCCATTTCAAACAGGGGACTTGGACTAATTCATCTTTTTAAAAATCAAAACCAGCCACTGGGACTTGAAAAAAATAGAGTTGTTCTTTGATGCCTACCTGGCCTATTTAGGAGGGCACTGCCATTACTTGGCAGGTTTTGTAGCTTTGCTGCTCAGGGGCAGCTCAGCTGCTGTTCCAGATGTGGCAGAGAAAGTAGTTACAACTTCTCTCATTCCAGAAAAAACCCATAACTCCTCTTTTCCCTTCCCACCGCAGGAAGGGAGCTGTGTGCATTGGAGAGAGTAGAGTACTGGCAGCAGAGCTGCTCAACATACCTGGGAGCCACACAGCAGCTCTGACGTCCCTCAGCTTCAGGGATTCCCTTCCTCCTTCCTAAACGCAGCCCAGTGTATTCATTAAATAAAATGGCCAAACATCCAGGAAAAACACCCTTCCAGCTAATTTTAGTCCAGGCTTTCCTTTCTACTCTGCAGATACCCATGATACTTACAACAAATAGGAGATTGAAGAGGAAGAGGAAGTACTTGGTGACTTTTAGGCAGCCAGACCCCATCTTCTTTCACTTACAGGACCTAAGGGGAAAGCAGACAGACACCCATTTATGTTAGTGTCAGGTCCTCCAGGCAGTTTCAGAGCGACACCCTTACCCTGTGCTGAGCTCTGAATCATCTGGTGGGTCTCAGAGCAGACACACAGAAAGCACATGCCCCATTGACTGCCCAAACTGCCTTTTCAGGGCAGCAAAACAGGACACCACAGTCACTACAAACAGCCACTGCTGCCAAGATCTCCTGGAGAGTGACACAGGGCTACCATCAGTTACAGAAAGGATCTGTTCACAAATTCACTGCCAATTCCATCACTATTTATATGGACTTTGCATTACCAGCATCAACCGAAACACCAACTCTAGCTATCACTTCCAGCAGAGAAAAGGGATGCACTTATCTGAAGAAGGAGCTCACAAGGCCAGCTCCTTCCCCAGAAAATCTCATCTCCTCATGACCCCTAAAGCGGCTGAATGAACACTGAAGAGCAAAGCCAAGGTCTCAATTTAAAAGGCAGTAATAAATCAAGCCTCCTGTGCACAACTAGGTACCTCATGCTTTGACAATGCATGAAGACCTGCGAGCCTGCTCCATGGCCACACACTACCAATTCTCCTGCAAGGTCAAGACAGGCAAGACTTCAACAAGTCCCAGTTTCCAAAGCCAACTTCACAAGTTCAAGGCGGTACAGGAGCACTGATAACACAGGATGCTGATTTTAGTTTGTTGGTACCAGCCACACAAACTCCACACACCCATGGAGTGGCTAGCAAGCAGAGAGGCAAACTCCAGCGCAGGTCTCCACCATACAGAGAAGGTACTCGACTGTCTCTGAAGTTAACTCCTCTCAATGACCATGGCTGAAGCGTATGTAAACACGTATGAGAAGAGAAGACAAGGTTGCTCTTAACACTGCAAATTAGACAGCTTATCAGCAATAGATCCTCATCAGGTCTTTGCACTACAGGATCCTGGGAATAAATAGATCTGTATTACTGCAACCTACTTCAATTCTCACTTGTCTGACAGCAGAGAGCCCAGAAGCTAGAAAAAAGTCCCACAGACCATGCCACTACTGGAGTAAGCCTCCTCCTGGGGAAGCAGCACAGCTGAGTAACACATGAGGACTGGTGGGAGAACATCTCAGAGGTCAGCTTTCCTGCTTCTCCTTCCTCTCCCGTGCTCAGTTATGTTTCCTGCGTAGGCAGCAGAGGACTTTTAAGTTCCTTAAAATCTGCTCTAGCAAGTTCCTTGCTCAAAACAGGCCATGCTACTTTAAGAAGCAACAGCCAGAGGAAAAGCAATGCTAGGCTAAGGTCACCAGTCTGGTCTGGGAAGAGCCAGGCCCAGAGAGCAAGGTCAGCAAGGTTCCCTGCTGCCAGCCTGGGTGTACCAAGGGTCACCCAGTACGTTCTTTTGTTTCAATCAAGGGCTTTTGCTTAATCCTATTAAATATTTAGGTTAACTCTGGAGCTAAAGTGGTACGTGAGCCTTGTTATAACTGGCTAGTATTCCCACCAAGCAACGGTCACCCTCCAACTACCAGAAGAGAGCGCAAGTCTAAACTCTGTGGCTGAAGACAACACTACTGATTTAACTTCAAGAGATGCCATAGCTAGAGGCTGTGCTAAGACCATCACTGTACAGCACATAGCAAGATGCTATTGAGATAGAAAAGCGGCACAGAAATACAGTCTCAGCCAGCTGTGCTATAAGTTAATCCTAAAAATCCCATCTATATAGCAGTCATTGCACTTAAGGAGCTCTTACTGCACAGCCAAGTTAGCATCGTCTCAGTCGCTTTTTATTCAGTTAACTCCTCAGGTCAGAGTCCATAAATCCAGCACCACCCAAAAGTCAGTCCTTCAGGTTAGCCAGGCAAAGCTTCTGTGACAGTTTCTGGTCCATATTTACACCAAACATCAAACGCATGGCACTCCCATTTCCAGTCCCCTCAGGTGCAGCGATCAGCTATGAGCTTGTTCAGTACCAGCACAGATGCAGCGTACAACAGTTGCACCACTACCAACCTATGAAAAGTGAGTGAAGGCTCTCTGTTAGCAGATTTTTACCCTGGGTTAATGACAACAAGTTTAGTCAACAAGCCTTGCTCATGTTAGAGCAGCTTTCCTACCACAGATCACGCCAGCTTACAGTCAGAGAACAGCTGTAAACCAAACACCACTGTGCCCTTTAACGGTATCTCAGAAAAGAGGCAAGTATTTGAGCAGAGAGAGCACAAATGTCACGTTCAAACTGTGTGCTCCCCTCCTTTCCTCTGTAAAAGTAAAAATATTCTCTTGAGCAGTTAATCCTGGCAGGCACCAACACCTAAAACTGCACTTGGATAGAATAACTAGAGACGTAAGTTTTCCCATCCAGCTGGCTTGCTTACTGGCTTCACCGTGAACACATCTCCTCTTTATAGCGTAACAGACGCTATAAAGAGACCTGGCGGTCTAACCAGAACATTGAGGCAGCCAGGTCCCTAGGTGATGATCAATGTCTGTTGTGGGGGATACAAGCGTTTTTCCACTCTTCAACCTAGCCAAAAACTAAGCTAGATAATAATCTCCTGCACAAGGCATCCGACTTCTTATCTTAAGCTGTCCCAGGTGCAATGCTCACTATTTTCAAACTGGAGGTGGAAACTTCTAGTACTTGCTCATTTGGTTCCTAGCACTAAGTAGCTTTGTGCTGCCTGTTTCCAACTCTGTGCACACTGCTTTGACTAGTCAGGAAAACAGAATTACAGAGCTGTTAGGATCTCTACAACAGTTATCTAAGATAATTAACTAGTCAAACAAGTTGAGAAGAGCTGGTATGGAAGAAGATACTCCTGAGGTGACAAGACTAAAAGACTGCTTTCAGGGCTCTTCTACTCCCAGCTATTTGCTGAAGGCATACAATCTCCAATGTTTTATAAAAAAACCACAACCCAAAACCAACTGTGCATTGCAGCATTATACACCGTTCTCCTCTTGCCACAGGGAGGTGGCAAGCTCTTTCATAGCTCCTAGCCATAAAGAAGTAATTCAAAGTACATTTTGAAAACCAAGAGAACCAGGTTTTTAGGGTTTCACTGTGAGCTTTTAAGATACTTCAGGGCTCCACATACTAAACCATTACAGTTCTTCTGTTACCTTTAAGAAATTAAACTTAAATTTGTTCACTACATTAATGAAACTCCTCAAAACCCTACCTTCTGAAATTGCACAAGCAGTCATAAAACTAGCAACACCACTATGCAGCAGAAGTAGCAGCTCAGCAAAATTCGAGATGGGTCAGGTTTGGAAGCAGACAAGCTTAGAGTTTTCACAGTCCACCTTATCCATGGGCCACATAATCCAGTAGTTTCTTCAACAAGCCAGAGCAGTCACTTCAGAAAGAGGTGTGATGTATAATCTGTGCAGTGCAGCCCTCATACTTGCCAGCCAGTGCTACCTGTGGACTGTGGCAGTCAGAGCTGATCATTTGCCTTCTGAAGCTGGCCAACTCTTGAGCCTTAACGTCCTGCAGCAACGCATGAAAACGTTTAATAAGTGAAGTCTGCAGGTTTTAAATTCCACTGATTGTCCACAGTTGTTTGTTTAATCCTTTTCTTCTCCATTCCAACTGCTTTGACCATTTGAATTTTACTCGCCAAGAAGCCACTCCAGTCTTTTCAACAATCTTGCCCATATGCCTCCAAATTTTTCCTGTCATTCTCCAGACTGATGCCAGCTCTGCAGAGAATTTCATAAGAAACCATACTACTCAGTCCCAGGACCTGAGCAGAGAACTAACTCCAGAAGGCATCAATTGATCCAGGACCCTCGGGGTTCCCACAGGAGAGGAACGAGACGAGTCCACACAGCTTAAGCCAGCATCACAGGATGGCTTCTTGTCCCCTCCACCACCTCCAGCTGTCAGGTCTGTCCATCTCCCAGGAACAGCAATGCCAGCAAGACTGGTACATGAAGCACAAAATCCAGGACATGTGTGTCTGAGGACAGGCAGACAGAGGCCTGCTTTGTTAGTGAGAGCAGGAGTCCCATCACAGCTCAGATATTAACCTATTTTTTTTGCAGGAACCCATAATACTCCCAGCCCCTTCCCACAAAGGTGACTGCAGCAAAGGATAGGCAATACAAGTACCTCTGCCTCCCAGCCTCACCACTGGCCAGCAAGGCAGGAACAGGAGCACTTGTGCACGGCTGTTATAGCCACATCAGTTGAGGGGCAGAGAAGCTAAGCTAATTTTTAATTGCAATTCTGCTCTAATTAGGTCCTGTACTGCCTCCACCCAGCAAGCACTGCATGTTTGGTGCTCACTGAAGTTTATGATACTTGGCTCAGACTAGCATGGTACGTGCCCGTGACATGCAGCTCTGCTGGTAGGAGCTGAGCTTTCCTCTGCAGCACAACCCTTGCTCTTCCAGTGCAAGTTTCTTCCTGGTGAGCTCTGGCAGCTGAAGCACCTCAGCTGCCAAGTTACTGCACAGCACAAATAAGGAGCTCATGTACAAGTGTGGTAGAAGAGGAGGAGACAAGCAGGAACAACCTTAGCACAAATCAGGGTAGATCAGTTGTGGAAATCACCGTCTCGGTACATTTACAGTCAAGTGCAAAGTTCCTGCAAATCCTGGAGGAGAACACGCATGCTCCTGAGGGCAATGGGCTTGAAGGTCAGCCCCAATACTGCAAGTGAAGCAGTCCACATTGGAATAGCCTGGAAGATGCTGTTCCCTCTCCCCCAGACCCTCTTCCTTAAGGAAAGGAAATGACTGGTTACAAAGAAGCTGCAGGTTGTTACTCTGTACTTTGGCCAGTTGCTCCCCACTACCACACCTCAGGCTCTAACTCCAGAGAATGTAAAACAAAGGCAGACCCTATAGGATGTGCTGCTACTAGCTTTTACCAGGCAAGGAAGAGGTCAAATTGTCACCAGAACCTGTTTTCCAGTTGCTGCTTCCCTTGCCCCCATAAACCCCTGAATGCCCTGTAAGGCTGCCACACTAGGTCACATCTGCCACCCCTCCTGCCTG